CGGCCTCCGTACGCTGACGCGACGGAATAGTCCGCGACCTTAAAGGTCGTCCGGCGCCCAATATCAGGCGCCGCGAGAAGGGGGCCTTAAATGGCCCGGGCCATGCCTGTTCCCGGGGTAATGCTAGAAGCGAATACCCGGGGCGGTGCAAAGCAGCACTGGTGGCTGCACGACGGGGTTTTTAGTTGGTATACCCGGCATTGCACACCTGGGAGAGGGGCTAGCTCTCTCCTAAGGGCCGGGGAGTCCAATACTACCCCCCAGTACCCCCGACTCCCCTGAGAGGTAAGTTTCTTTTCTTTGGGTGTGATGTCCATGTTCTTTTTAAATGTGTTTTTTAATCGGAGTATCACCTCTCCTAGCCAGTCTAAGGGGGCCTGGCACCCGTCAATCAACCATTCACACACACATCCACAACACAGGAGTTAGAACCAAAGGAGCAAAGAAGAAACAAGAAGAAGGTAAGGATGGGTAAGACAAAATAAGAAAGGATAATTAGGGATATGAACAAAAATTTGGAGGAGAGTTGAGGATTGGAGCGTTTTTCCGCCCTTATCGGTGTCCTCAAACCGGGCATTTGAAGTCAGGGTTTGCCATCCCCTATCCGCATCAGGTCAAAACGCCCGGAGGGAGCGGAACCCCCCTTCCGGGGAGGGAAGTGCAATGCGAGCTCTTAGTCACCGCCCCCAGCCCCCGGGACCCCCGACACGAAAGTGTCGAAGTGGGTGCCCGAAGGACCCACCGAACCCCCCCCCAACACCGAGGTGTCGAAGTGGGGGGCCCGGAGGCCGGGGGCGGTTTAAGCCCCTCCACCACGTCAAGGTGGCTCGCATCGGAGGAGATCGGGGGAGAAACTTTTTTTTTTTTTTAACGACGGGGAAAATGCATTACGCACACCCCCCCGAGGTGCGTACGGCACACCAAGGGGGGGTAGTGTTGGACTTCCCGGCCCTTAGGAGAGAGCTAGCCCCTCTCCCAGGTGTGCAATGCCGGGTATACCAACTAAAAACCCCGTCGTGCAGCCACCCGTGCTGCTCGCCCAGCCCCGGGTCTCCGCAGAGGCATTACCCCGAGACTGGGCAGCCCGGGCCATTTAAGGCCCCCTTCTTGCGGCGCCGGATGTTAGGCGCCAAGCGACCTTTAAGGTCGCGGACTACGCCGTCGCGTCAGCGTCCGGAGGCCGTCTCCTGCGGCGCGTGCGACCACACGCCTCTGGGGGGAGCAGTGTCCCACCCTTCCCCTAGTTGAGACCAACTAAAACCCCTCAGTGCTCTTGGCTTTAGCGTCCAGATCTCAGGAACTGCTTTCGCATTACAACTGAGATCTGGACAGCCTCGCGCACGTAAGCGCGCTCCGTCCTCTTCCGTGCCCGCCCTTTCACCCATGCACGTCTTCTTGTCACATTCGGTAAGTATGTATGCGTGTATCTAGGTAAGTATATCTGTAGATGTATAGTGTACAGGTAAGTGTATTGATAAGTGTATAGGTAGGTATCTATGTAAGTGTATATATATAAGTGTTTAGGTAAGTATAGGTAAGTATAGGTATAGGTAAGTATATTTGTGTGTATATATAAGTGTTTAGGTAAGTATAAGTAAGGTAAGTAAGTAAGTATGTGTGTGTGTATGTGTATGTGTGTGTGTGTATGTGTGGGTATGTGTGTGTGTATGTGTGTATGTGTTTCAAAACCAGTAGTCTAATTCGAGTATTCGCTATCTATCTCGGTGAGATCTGAGTTGTCATGAGCTTCTCTTCTTTCTACTTAACGTTCATATTCTTCTTTTTCAAGCATAATCTTCTCAATAAAGGTCATTACCGTGGACCACTCCTGACGAGAGTTGATCATGACTGTTGTCATCGTTTTTAGAGAGAGAGCATCCGAAGTCATTTTTATTTTCTCGAGCATAATTGCTCTTTCTCTCTCCCACGCTGAACATATTTTCAGTGTATGTTCCGCTGTATCTGGAACGTTCATCCTACAGTGTGGGCATGTGTCGCTATTTATTCTTTGTATTCTATTCAAATATGAATAGAATACACCATGTCCGGTAAGTAATTGGGTCATGTGGAAACTCATATTACCATGTTTCCTATGGAGCCATTCGTCCCATATAGGCATGATTGCCTCGCGTGTTCTTACGCCCGCTGCGCTTCGTCCAAGTAAGTATTCTTTCCATTTATATATAGCTTTATTTGTTTCTTCTGCTATTATTTTCTTTTCCTCTATTCGAGTCCATTCTTTATTAAACTTCATATCGCGTATCCTTTCATACGCGTGTTTTCTTGCTTCTGCCCTAAAATAGTATGGTGGAATCCTCGACAGAATGGACGCTGCATCATGTGATACTGTACGATATGCTGCTATATCTCTCAGCGCTACTATTCTATGCATCTCTTTGAGTTCTGAGTGTACTTTGCCCTTTTTAATTGCTTCATGGGCCCACACTGGGGCCGCATAAAGAATTACGGATGCTAATACATTTGCGTATAGACGTCTTTGTTTTTCTATAGGGCCATGAAGATTGGGCATAAGGCGTCATAATGACCTAGTAATCTTTCGGAACTTTCCATTAATGTATTCCATATGGTCGGCAAAGGTTAGTTTGTCGTCCATGATCACAACTAAATATTTCATTGATTTTTTAGGGAGTATTCTTGTCCGATCCACCACGATTTCAATTGTCGGGGGTGGCTTCTTATTTGATGTAAATACTACTATTTCCGTTTTAGCAGCAGCTATCTCTAGTTTAAAGTCCTTAATATCCTTGGCTCTCCGCGCTACTTGAAGTGCCATTCTTCTACGAGCACTTTCCACGGATCCTCCTGTAGAAATAATTAGGGTGTCATCCGCATATGCGAGAAGTCGACAACCATTTTCAGATCTTGCCTTTAACACTTTATCAAATGTAATATTCCATAGCAGGAGCCCCAGGACTGAGCCCTGGGGTACCCATGCTTCCATTTGTCTAGTCACTTGCATTCCGTCCTTATTTGTATATAGTATAAATCTATGTGATAATTAACTATTTATAATCTTTTGTATATGTAACGGAAATTTCTTTGTTCTTAAGGCTTGCAAGATGTCTGCCCATTGGAGTGAGTTGAATGCATTCGCAATATCGACCGCTACTGCGATAACCACTCCGTCTTCTTTATATGTGTATTCGATAAATTCTCGTAACTCAACAATTGCATCAACTGTTGAGCGCATTCTCCGAAATTTGAATTGATTCGGACTTAGTGACGATTCCGGGTGTTCTTCCATCCACCGGTACATGCTTTCTGCAAGCACTCTTTCAAAAATCTTCCCTATCTCTGGGAGAAGGCAGATTGGCCTGACTTTAGGGCTCTCAGGATTTAGTCCTTTGGGGATCAATACAAATTGAGCCAACTTCCATTGATCCGGGAAAATCCCGTTACGATTACAGATCGTTAATACTTTTGCTACGCTTGCCAACATATCTTCATTTATCTGCTTCCAGTAGATGAATTTAACTCCATCTAATCGTGGTGCAGTATTAACAGCGGTTCTTTTATGAGTGTAACGTGTAACTTCTTGTATGGATGATATGATATATCCCAATCATCTTGCCAAACTATGTTCGTTTCTACAAAGGCATCTTTGTCTATTTTGGATTTAGGGAATAGTTTAAGTAACGTTTCATCCAATACTTTTTCCTCTAACATTTCCGTTAATGCAGGGGCTGTCCTGCGCAAACGATTCATTACAATTCGATATGGGAGACCCCAAGGATCTTCATTTATTGTACGTATGAGATCCTTCCAGGCAGATATCTTCGCTTTTCTTATGAGAACTCTCAGCTCTTTCTTTTTTGTTTTAAACTCTCTTTCTTTCTCTCTCTCAGTATTGCTATCGTCTCTCTTTCTACCTCTTTTCCATTTCCTTCTAAGACTTATACATTCTTTTCTCTTATCATTCATTCTCTTATCATATATTTCGGAGGACCACCAATAGATTGCTTTCCTTTTCCAAGCATTCTGCGGTTGCCTAGGCATCGCAGCGTCGCATGCTCTTTTCATTATTCTATCTATTTCAGTACTAGCTTGCTGAGGCGACTGTTCTGCCATGTCTATTGATAGAAATTGTGGACATTCCCATATGAATGTTGAGTAGAAAAGATCAATGTCAAACTTTTTTGAAGACCAGGCTATTCCCTTAGTCTGATTTATATTCCGAGCAGGATTACCTTGGGTTACTTCAAAGGTAATATATCTGTGATCAGAGAGAGAGATTTCGTCTTCCTCCACTCTCCATCTACTAACCTTGGATATCATGTCTGCCGAAGACCAGGTAGTGTCTATGATTGAACTTCCTTGTGTTCGAACGCATGTAGGTACTGAGCCTACATTAACTAGTCGAAGATCCAGCATATTAGCAAGTTCAATTAACTCCTTTCCTCTTCTATCTTCGATCTTAGAAGACCACATGTGAGATTTTGCATTAAAATCTCCACAAAGTATTATATTGCTTTTTTCCTTAAGAATGATCAAGCTAATTTCATTCAACATGTCCTGAAATTCCTTTAGACTCGCGTTGGGTGACGAGTAACATGAGATTAGGATAATATTCTAGCCGCTATCGAGTGTTTCCCTTGTTTAACAAGGCAGCAAGGGATCCTGACGCCCCTATTCCAATAAATAGCAGCCAAACCATTCTTACTAGTAAGCCAATAGTCTGAGTTTACAGTCGACCATGGTTCTTGTATGGCTGCAATCTCAATTTCCTTCTCCAAGGACCATTGCATAAGAAGGTCTTGTGCGCCTTGCGAATGGTTCAGGTTCGCTTGCATTATTCTAGTCATGCATCTAGTCATATCTGTGTTTCTAGTCCTATTTTTTGTCATCTTTTTATTTTTATTCATTATGTACTATATCCATATTTTCATCCGTCCTGTTAGTGTTATTATTTTCTACTTTATTTTCAGCTGTTTTTATTTATTTGTGCTCTCTTATTAGCATTATTATTCTTCTCTCTATTCTTAATACATGCTGCCCATCCTGTGATTTGCGTCTTTTCTGTTTTCTTTACAGATTATACAATGTGTATCCTTGGAACACGCAGACACTAAATGTCCCTCAGATCCACATCTGTAACAACACTTGGTCCTATCAATGTTTGAAGTGCAATTATATTTCAAATGCCCGAATCTCCAACATTTGAAGCATTGCTTCTCTCTTGCATGGATCAGTTCGACCTTGATTATTGACCAACCGATCTTAATTTTTTCCATTTTAGCTACAGTCACTGCCACTCCAAGAGGACATTTGAGCCATACCATTCCGAGACCATTTCTCATGGGCTTTATGTCACCCACTTTAACTTCTTCTCTCTTGCATCCGCCGTATTCGGCTATTTTCCAATTAATTTCATCCTGGGAGATGGAATCATCTAATCCAAATAGATGGAGATCTTTGTTAATTGTAGGTCTTGCAACAATTGCCGCTCCATCTAATACTTTATTAAGTTCGGTAACCAAACGATCTGCCTCTTCAACCTTCTTCATTCCTGGGATTTCGATGAGAATATTTCCTGCCGAAGTCTTTCGGATTTTAGTCTTTTCGATACCAATCTGTTCTAATGATATCTCTTCTCTAGCCTTCTTTAGGATTCCTGCATAGGAGACTTTATCCCTATTTTTTTCCTCTATCCTAATTGTTACTACTGCCGATCTTGGAGGCTTCTTTATTATTTTAGGCTTCTGTTTTACCGAGTTATTCCTTCCTTTTCCATCCTTTTTTCCTTCCTAGACTGTTGTATCTTCTATTCTTCTTCTGCCGGTTCTTTCCTATTTCCAATTTTTTCTATCCTAACCTTGTGTCCAGTCAATTGCACATTTTCTAGGACTTTGATATCTGTCCTCTTCACCCATTGTGGTTTGGGTATTTTCTTTTGCTCTTGACCGGGATCCTTTCTACTTTCCTGTCCCAATGTACCTTTCCTTTTGATTTGCTCTCTAGTGTTCTTTATATCCTGCAGCGATTCCTTTAGTGCCTTTTGTATTAATTGTTCTTCATTTTGTTTCAGGTGTTCCAGATGGGATTCCTCACCAGCCAGACCAGGACCAGGGATCTCCGACCTTTTACCAGGAGGAGCCATACAAGGCCTTTTGAACGTCCAGCCGTCTTCCGCCGTGGACCAATCCGTAGGTAAGTATTCCAAATCTACTGTTTCCGAATCATCCGCTATACTGGTGTCTTCTTCTCTACTCATAACATCCAGAGTTCTTTTCATCCTTGTACTATTCCTTTTAGGTGGACTCCCTTTCTGACTTCTTTTCAGGCTGTCGCTTTCTTTCCTATCTACTTTCATTTTCATTTTCATTACTTCTTTCTTAAGCATCTTCATCTGTTCACATAGATCTTTAACTTCATTCTTTAGCATCTGTATCTCTTTCTCTTTCTGTGTACAGTGCTTTTCTTTCTCTTTTAATCTTGCCTGCAGCTCTCTTTGTTTTCCATACGAAGAAGGCAAGTTTCATCATCTATCTCTCCTCGCTCCTTCTTTGACGGTGTTTTCGTAATCGTCTTCGCTAGTCCTCTAATGATTTCTTTAGCATTGTGGATTCGACGCTTCATAACGTCAGATAGATCACCCTTGATGTTTCTACATTTAATTTGGATCTCATCCGCCTCTTCTAAGAATTCGATTGCAGTTGCAGCCATTTCTGGTGCCGACAGGGCATCATATCCTTCGCTATTGTCTGAATCCTCAACTTCATGAACTCCTAGCTCCTCTATACCAAGCTTTTTCCATCTTTCCTTTCTTGGCCTACCTACTTTCCTCTTAATTATTTCCGGCTCTTCTTTCGCTTTGCTCTGATGCCCTTCCTTTAAACCTCCTATAATTTCCTTATCTCCTCTCTTTCCTTTTCTTATAGGATGCAAGACTGAGAAACAATCCGCATCATCACTATCGGAGATATTTACCATGTCATTTGGCACATCATTTGGCACATCATTCTTTTGTACCTTTTCTTGTATCTTAGAGCTTTCTTGTATGTTAGAATCTTCTTCCTCATCACTAGATAATATTATTTTCCTAGCTCTTGTAATCCTTTTCTTCCTCATGCTTAATTCCACATTTTCTTCCTCTTCATTCTCTTTATTCAGCTCTCTGTCTGACATTTCCTTCCTCGTTCTTTTCCTATTCTCCCTATCGATTTCCATTTCACTGGAGCCTTGGATGTTTTCTCCTTCTATTAATGTTAAATTCTCTGTTTCTATTACATCGGTAACCAGTTCCTCACTATTTTTGTTTCACTTATCTTTATTTGTAAAATGCTTTAGCAAAATAATATTTTTTTTGAAAACAGAATTATTTTTTTTTTGTTTTTTAACAGTAATTAACAATATTCATTTATTATGTCAAGTGTTTGTTTTATAAATTTGATGTACTTTTCCATTTTTGAAAAATGTAATTGTTATGTTTTTATTAAATATAAAAAGATTTAAAAATTTCTTACAGAAATATATAAGAAACGTTAATGTGCATTGTAAACAAAGAATATTATGTAACTGATATATGTGCAATATATAATATTTTTTCCAATATTAATATATTTGTTTGTTTTAATTATTAGATTTAATATTACCTTTTCAGGAGGATCTCATTTGTATATTTTACAATTTTATATTATTTCGACTGTATCTCATCTGTGCGAACATAACTTTTTTGTGCATTACCTATGTATTTCCTTCACAGTACGTTGTTCATTTTTAAATATCCGATTGATGTATACAATATATACAATGAAGACGACTTACAATTGGCGCAAATGGGAATTATCTATAGATCAGATGAATACGTGGGACAATATGCAGTTGAAGAATGTACATGAGAGAGTCTTATTTCCTGTTTTTTTCTATAACGTATCGACATCTTTATAGAATTCGAATATGTATCTTATTAGTGTCTTCATACATTCTGAATAGTCCTTCAGATAAACATTTTTATATAAAAATGTATATATATATATATAGTAGTGAGACTAGGAGAGTTCTAACTCAGGTCCTCTCAGGGGGGGTGAGGCGCGAGGGGAACCGCGGTGCGGGGGGGAGTGACGTCACGCGCGGGGAAGGAGGAACCGCGGCGCGCGGTGGGTGACGTCACCCGCGGGGAAGGGAGATCCACGGCGCGAGCGATGGACAAGGGGATCCGCGAGGTGAAGGGGGATCCACGGCGCGAGCGATGGACGAGGGGGTCCGCGAGGTGAAGGGGGATCCACGGCGCGAGAGATGGACGAGAGGGTCCGCGAGGTGAAGGGGGATCCGCGGCGCGAGCAATGGACGAGGGGGTCCGCGAGGTGAAGGGGGATCCGCGGCGCGAGCGATGGACGAGGGGGTCCGCGCGGTGAAGGGGGATCAGCGGAAAGAAGACGGTGGTGTGAGTAGGACAGCGTAACGTATGGGAAAAGGACAGTGCAAAGTGTATGAAGAGGACAGTGCTACGAGTGCGACAAGGATGGCGTTAACGTGGAACAAGGACGGCGTATAGGTGGGAGAAGAACGACGCAAAGGTAAGTGAACAACGAGTATATTCTAAGCAAAAGAGAGAGAACGATAATATTGAGAATAACAACGCGTGCGAGAGAGAACGATAGCGCAAGAACAACGCGAGTGAGAGAGAACGCATATGAAAAAGAGAACGATAGCGCCAAGACGACGTGTACAAGAGAGAGAACGATAATATCGCGAGACTTACAATTAGCGCGCGCGAAAGAGAGAACGATAGCGCGAAGACTTACAACTAGCGCGTGCGAGAGAGAACGATAGCGCGAAGATGACGCGTGCAAGAGAGAACGATAATATCGCGAGACTTACAACTAGCGCAAGAGAGACGCAAGGATGGGGACGCGAGGAGAGGCGCGTAAATAATTAGATTTTTTTTCTCAATTAAAATTAAATAAAATTTATTAAAAATGTGTGTGTGTTTTTATACATTGTGTGTGTGTGTGTGTGTGTGTGTGTGTGCGTGTGTGTACTTAAAATTAAGATTATAATAAAATAAAATATAATAATAAAATAATAATAATAATAATTTGGCGGTGCGGGGGGAGGGGGTGAAGCCGCTCCTGGAAGACTAGGGGCGATGTGTCGGGCTGAGGGACTTCCGCTCCTGGCCCTCTCGTCGACTATTCATGTACTCTCGTAAACTCTGAAATTAAACATAATAATTGTAAATGTTTTAAATTTATTACACATTAGCAAAAATATTTTTACCTTCAACGTTTCCAAGTCATGTCGTAGCATATTCTCATGCACATCTTCGAATTTGTCTATACCTTTACATGATTCTAGATGTTCACAAAGTCTATTTCCGAAACATTTTACTTTAGTGTGATTAGGATCTTCCGCATATATACATTCAAAACAAAAACTTGCATCACATTTTTTAACTGAGTTCGCCCAATAGTCTCGAGTTTTGAGAAATCTGTTCAACGAAATTGTGCGAGGTTTTTTCAAGCCGAGCTCACGATTTCTTATAAATTGAACGACTGAGGTTTCCAGATTCCTCTTCGAAAGTTGTTCCTGCTCATACTGAAGTAATTCTTCAACATCACTAGTTCGAAAATCGAAATCAGGTTCCTTATCAGATGATTCTTCTTTCGCATATAATTTCTTCCATTTCGCTCTTCTCTCTCTCTCAATCACAATTTTTTCCACCACAACGGGATCCATCCAGGCATCATATTCATCCATATATTCATTTCCGATGATTACGTTTTCTTCAACATCATTATCATCCATATCTTCATTACCGATGATTACGTTTTCTTCAGCCATTGCACTAACGTAACACACAAGACTAACGAAACGCAAAGAATAACGAAATAATATTCTAATGTCGCAGACTCCTCTTCATTATATATCTTTTTAATATCTCGCGTCTCATTCCAACTAGAGCATCGCGTCTCATCTACCTCAGCATTTCTCTACATCTTTGGCGGAGCGTGTTGAGAAAAATTGTCGACTATTCTTATTCGTATGGAAAGAAAGAAATAAAATTTATAGATGGAATAAAAATAATTATTTATTGCACGCATCGTAAAGAATATCATTTATAGCACATGTTAATAATTCGCAATCGATCAATGATTCGCTGTCAAAGACATCACTCTCACGTATCGTTTTTACAGCATTGCATACAGTAGTAATATTATTACGTTGTAATACAGTTTCAAATTGTTTAAATTTTTCATTTACAAGATACGTATTCTCGCATAACCAATTGTGCATATGATCGATACAATTTTCAAAATTAAATAAATGTAATAATGTTTCTGGTTTCATGTACAAAGAATTTTCGCATAATGCAAGTTTTACAATTTTCGATTGATACATTTCAATCGTTAAATCTCCAATCCTTAATGGGAGAGCAGTCGATTGTAGAAATTGTTCAACGTCTGCTTGCTTCCGCATCAATAAATTCCACGTTGAAAAGGGCAATACTATTTGATTGCCTCGATTATCGCCGAGAATCAGCTCCAAGTACGATACAGCTCCA